CAGGAATGAAACACGTTCAGTACCAGGACTGTTGGCTGAGGGGAAATGACTTGAGTCAGAGTTTATGCATGACTGCCCAACTTCATGTTGTGTGTGAATGGTCGTTGTAGGCAGGTAACGTGAGGTCAGGTCACAATTGTGTAATTTATTATAAGTGTTAAACATAACTGCATTTTTCCTAAAGACCAGAGGTTCTATGCAAGAATGCAGTTCAGTCTCCCCAAGCTAACTAGCTTCTTATCTGCCCAATGAAATTGCTAACAGTGTTACAATGAAGACATTTTTTTTCCATAAGAGTTGGTCTATAAGAATGATAATAATGATGATCGTTAGAGTGTTTTGTGAAAATATCATAATTATTCTTATTGTAGGCTTTGTTTGGCAGTTGCTAATGTTTTGCTTTCAAAGATACTCTGATTTTGATTGCTAAGAATTCTAATTCTGTTGCAGGAGTTATCAGCATTTGCAGGCTCTGAAACAGTAGCTTTATTGGTGATTCTTCTGCAAAAGTAGTATGAAAAAAGTTATCTTTCCAAATTATTTCTCTGTAGAAGTTGGTTATATATCAAAGAGTGAGATAAGAGCTAACATATTTTGGTAAATCCTTGCTGAAGACCATCTGTTTTTTCATAAATTGTTTAATTAAAGCAAGACTTCTGTCAATTAAGAGAATGAAGCAATGGTCTGAAAAGAAATTGCACCACAACCCCATTGCTCTGCTAAACCATTCTAGCATATTTTTCTTTCTGGTACACTAACAGCAGACATACTGGATTTAAATTAGAATAATTGAACTCTAGATAGTATGTGTGAGACAGGTTTATTTCATGCTAACTTTATGATGCCTTTCTTAAAGAAACTGATATCTTAAAATTCCTCTTTAGCCAGCTATTCTTTTCAGGAGAACAAATGCTAGCACACTTATTTTAAAGTCCCTCTCAGCACATTAATCAGACCTTCTTCATTTGATGCGCTGTGCACACACAATCTTTTTTTTATTTTTGGAGATCTTGCTCCAAAACCAAACGTACTGTGGAGAATTTTCAGCAATATCCCAATAAGTAGAAATGTGATTTCTCTCTTTAAGGTTACTGGTTGCTCTGTCTTCCTTTGCATGTGATGTAATCACAAAAATTACAAGGATAAATGATAAACCACTGCCAATTATTCCAAAGATGTTGTATTTATTGCACTACCCATATTCTTACTGCTCTCTAAAGCACTTTGGAAAGCCAAGTAAAGCAAGATTCTCACTCTTCTCCTCTTTTAATGTCTGGAGAGTATAGAGCTTAACAGAGGCAATCTATATGAACCTACATCCACGCAGTATTTATTAAGCATCAATACTTTGATGTTATTATTTATTAAGTAATCTATCTATTATTTGGGCAGTTTTCTTCAATTGACTGGACCTAATCATCAAATACATTCCTGTGAAATAGGGAAAAATTGAAAACAAAATGAAACAAAAACAAACAAACCAACCAACCAACCGAATAAAACAAAACAAAACAAAACAAAACAAAACAAAACAAAACCACACAACCTATTTCCCACATTAGGCTTTTCAGAGTCTTTCTACTCTAATAGGCCTACTGGACTGAACAATTTCATGGACTTGACCTAAATGTTTGTGTAGGAAAACAGATTTTAGGATAAGCCTCAGGACCACAAATACCAAAGTTAAGGGTGTTCTTTGCTGAATAGAGGTGACAGTCAAAGGAACCATGCTGTTTTCAGCAAGGTATTTATGCAACTGATTTTACTGAGAAATGTTGGGGCAAGGAAGAGAGAGTCTGAGAGGAGGGGTCATGAAGCTCACAACTGAGCATTGTGCAGCTCGGTGGCACAATTGGCTAAGTAATTAACATTCTATCAAGGAATTGAGGATTTGCTTTAAAAAGCAAAGGACTTTTTGCTGGTAAGAACTGGATTAGGGAGGCTGAAGCAGCATGAATAAGTATTAGGAGCGTTCTTGCTTTATGTAACTGATACAAAGAAAAGGAAAGAGCATGGGAGTATAAGAATCATAATTACTATTACTCAGGAGTAGAAGAACTAGCTGTGGTATTTCTCTGAAGACATCAAAACCACACTTGTTAGTCCCCACTGAAAGTTGTACAAAGCAGACAGGACACACAAGAAGTTAAGCACTAATTCCTCCACCTGGCCTCCAACATATCCCAAAGTGTCTACAGATCCCTTTAAAACCAACAACAGTAACCAAACTATGCCTCTTCTCTCCCTCTTCTCCCTTTAATCTGTCTTCCAGGAAAGTTTCTCAGATGTTGACTCTCTCTGGGGTATGTTGCATTTCTACAACAAACAGAGGAGATTGACCCAAGGATTCCCATCTCCCTTGCTCCAAGACTAAACCAGGTATCCAAGCACTTAACTTTTCTAGGCTCCTTAGCAGACCAAATGAATAGCACAAATCCTCCTGATCTAGGCTTTATGCATCAAATTAAATTATTTGGATTTGGATTTTGCTTCTTTGCTGTTATCAGTCTGAGTACAAATCCTGTCCTCAAAGAGGTCTGTGGGGTCTGTCTTTCCACTTCCTCCCCTATACCAGAGTCTTATGGCCATGTCTTCTTCACTAGATAAGAGTTTCACCTCCCACTACACCATGAGATGACATGATGACACACGTCCTCCAGGACCACAGGGAGGAGGAGCTGTACTAGGAGACAGCTGCACTTATCCAAAAGGATGTCACTTAGTTTGAAAGCTGAAGCAACAGTCCACTGAAAGGAATGGGATTTGCCTGTCCCTTTAGAGCAAGTAATGTGTGAAACTGGCCTGTTGCTGGGCAGTTTGGTGTAGCTGAGATTATCTAGCCTGTACATTTGCTTGGGGTTTGCGACCTCTACTATAACTTTTTTTTTTTTTTTTTTTTTGAATTAACAGAAGAAACATAGCCAGGTGCAAGAATATCCATGTTGTCACAGGATTACGAAGCAGCCTAAAACAGTCAGACACTCAACACCAAATAAAAGAAAGTAAGAAATAGTTTTCTAACTCCTTTAGTCTGCTTTAAAATCCAGGCTGGTTTGATTTTAACTGGACTGACAATGAAAAGTCATTTCTCCCTTCCACTTTACACACACAGAGAAGTATCTCAAAAGCCTGCACCATACTCCATGTGTACCTATGTCAGCCTTAAGCAAAATTCCTGTCTTTATTTGGAGTTATTTCAACAAGTGTAGCCATAGAAAAACTCTTTCTGGCAATACACGGCTAAATACATAAGTGCCTGTGAGTCAGTTACACATTGAACACAACAGCCAATCATACAAACATTATTTAATCTTCACTTACTGTCTCTTACTCCACTTACATTGTCTCTTACTGACTATGCAGAACTGTTTCTTCATAATAAAGAGAAACCATAACTGGATACGATCAGATGCTTAGAGGAAGTGATGGAATAAAGCAAGAGTTGTTGCTTCAAGTCCTGTCACATTGTGCAGCTAAGGGTAAGGAGATGGGTTAGATTTGAACACCTGAATTTTGATTCCCTTCCTTTTGGTTTTGTCTCCAGGCAGACTCAGTAAGAAGGCAGCCATTTTCTATGTTTTATTTTGAACAGCATGTGTAAGGAGTCATCACTGCAGTGGAATCCTGGGAACATCAAGCAATGACAATTTCTTAAACGTGCTCAGCGGCATGTTAGCAAGAACAAATGCTTAGGCTCTGCTCCCCCAAGGGGAACATCTCCCAAAGACAGACATGCAGGGCAAACATCATGTCAGCAAGATGCAGTAACAGCCAAGACCATTGTCACAAAACAAAGCAATGAAAGGTGACAGGGCAGAACTGAATGGAGAAGAGGTGGTGTGGAAAGAAACGACACCCAAATTCCAGCATTTCTGTGAACACAATGAGCATATGGGAAGAAGGATCTGATTCTCAGCTCCATCAAAGGTCTCTTCTAACCTAAAGGATTCTATGATTCTATCAATCCCCTTTATATAATATCAATATATATAAAAGATTTTGGGGTAAACAGAAATCTCTAAAGGAGTGCATATTTCTAGGATAAAAACTTGTGTGAACATCTCTGTCTGCAATTTTATATCAGGTCCAAAATGGAAGTATTTTGTGGTGTATTAATGTGCAGATAATGAATTATGACTATGTTATGATTATCAAATCCAGATGTTAATCCCAAGCAATGCTACAGGTTTGGGGAGGGGTGGCTGTAGAGCTGCCTGGCCGAAAAGGACCTGGGGCTGCTGGTGGACAGCTGGCTGAATGTGAGCCAGCAGTGTGTCCAGGTGGCCAAGAAGACCAACAGCATCCTGGCATGTGTGAAGTCACTATCCCTGGAGGTGTTCAAAAAACATGTGGACACAGTACTTCAGTCCTTTCAGTGGTTTAGTGGCCATAGTAGTGTTGGGTTGATGATTGGACTTGATGATCTTAGAGGTCTCTTCCAACCTTAATGATTCTGTGATTCCAAGTGAACGAATCAACTTTCTCACAGATAGTACTGTTAATCCAAGTACTGTAATGTGAGTTCAAGCCCAGTAAGACATGCTTAACATTCAGAGATACTCCATAGAAATGCAGTTTAAAAACATTAAACACAGCCATGGTTACATCTAAGTACATAGAAGTTGAAAATTGATTTTTATACTAGCAATGACTCAGACTTAAGTTCAAGAACACACACAACTCAAAATTAGCATAAGCACAATGTAAGTCATGGTGAGACTTGAAGATTCTGCTATAGTCTCTGAATATCTGGATTTCTCTGCTGGAATAAGCAACCATGATATCCAAACACAGAACTTACTGCCATGATACATGAGTTGTATTCCTCTGAGACAACTCAAGTTCACGTTTTTCACAGTCTTCTGGATGCAGCTTTGCATTAGTTCACAATCAGTGCTTTCTCCACGTACAAGGACTAGATACTTGTTGTGATTTGGGCTTTTTTGGTTTGATTTCTTATGGAGGAAAAGATAAGCTCACACATGTTGTATTTTTATCGTTGAAACCAGTCTTTTTTCATTCCCTGCCCAAATTTAATGGAGAGAATATTATGTTCTCTTATATTTCAAGAAAACTGGTGGCAGAGTTAAATAAAGAGAGAAACAGCATCAAGGTCTCCACTCAGGAAGATGGAATTGTGAATTCATCCCTTACTGGACATAAAAGAACCTACACACATAAAAGATAAAACTTTTCTCTGTGCCTAGTCACTGGAAAATCTTCAGTAAAAGCCTAAATCTCCTAAAATACCTAAGTCAGTCAATCTGAAGATAAACTTCAAGGAAAGTCAGCTCTTCTTAACTCCCATCCTTACAAAGTATTTAAGGGCTGATTAACTTCCTCACAATGTGTCAGTATGGCCGGATCAGAAGTAAATGAAGCACAGGTCCATGACTGACTACAACTGACTGTTTTTGTTAACGTTGCTGGAGAAGGCTTCTGTTCAACTTTCTTTACTATAATCATAGAAAGTAAAAAGTCTGATGGGCCAGCTTTAAAACAAAACAAGACCAACCAACCAACCAACCAACAAAACCCCAAACCAAAGCAAAACAAACTAAACAAACAAACAAAAACAAAGAAACAAACAAACAAAAACACCACTAAAGCAAGCTAACTTAAAAACCCAAGAGCTATATTCTTTCACTAAATACAGTCTGAAATATATCTGATTTTTGGGTTAAGAAGGAAAAATCTGGTTGAAATATAAGCAAACAACTCTTTCAGAAGACAGGCAGAAATAGTGATCAAGGAATTATTTGGTCCAAATAACAGAATTCCTTTATAATTATGTTATAAGCCCAGTGCTCCTGTAGTAAAATTTTTTAAAAGTCCAAATTTATGTGTGTGATCTACTGCATATAATTCACTAAAAGAAAAAGACACAAAACCACCTTGCATACACTGCACTTAGTCTGATGACTCTGAAGGAGCAGGAAAATAATTGAAATTTGAAAGCTACATTGGGTCTCTGTTTGATCATCGTCATAATGCTACATGATACTAATACAGTTCATTCATCCCAAAGGATCAATAAATCCTTCCAGAAGATAAATAAACTAAATTAAATTTTGACATTGAGCCTTATTTATGAGATTTACAAAATATCTGAATTGATTCTGGAGAAGAATCAAGGAAAAAAAAAAAAAGTTTATATCCTAATGCTATGTCCACTTTGGGAACAAAGTTCCTTGTTTAAATCCAATGAAATAGGGAGATTCAATGAAAAAAATATTAGAAACTTTTAAAAAAATAGCAAATCATGTCAGTTATATAGATCATTAATGAAGAATGTGCACACTAATTGTTGAAAACACTTAATCATTGTCAGTGTGCAGGATGCTGCAGAAACAGATACGTTGTGGATTACAGGGGCAGTTGAGAGTAATATTACGTGCTGTTGCTTCTTTCCTTTTTACAATGTTTATGGATTTTTTTTTCAGATGTGATAAAATTCACTCTGCATGGCTGAGATATTAAATCAATTGCTTCCTATTAAAGACTGGAATGAGACCTTCAGTAGAGACAAATTATGCCACATCTGTTTATTGTTGGACTTCTGCCACCTTTCCTTCAAGCACCTGGGTACAAAGAGTTTCAAGATCAGGTGGCTGCCCAGGTTTCCATCTCTTCTGACTGCTCTTAGGAAAACTCAGGAAGTCACAGTTTTGACCTCCAACATGGTAGAGCTAAGGGCTGAAAAAGCACTCCTAAACCCATTAGATTTTCTGTCCATATTGTTCAGGGCTTATTAAAAGTGTGGATAGACAACTGAATGCAAACTACTTACTGTACAGTGATAACTTTTCTTCTCTTGGCTGAGATAAAGTAACTATATCCTAGAGTTTATTGGATATATCAAGTATTATCAGAGAAAAATTTCGGTTGGAAGTCACTGCTGGAGATAACTTGTCCAACCTGTTCCTCAGAGCACAGCTACATTCAGTCAAGGTACAGATTTATTTCCCCACCAAACCCAATGGGACCTTTTCTGCACAGCTGCTACCCATTTACTCAGCCCCCAGCTTGTACCATACATGGTGCTGTTCTCTCTCAGGTGCAGGTCTTTGCATTTATCTTTGTTGACGAGGGTTCCGGTTGATGCATTTCTCTGTTGAAGACCTTAACTACAATGCAATTAATTAATTATGTTTATTTAAAACCACCCTGAAGTTTGTTCAGGTAACCTGTTTATTTTGCTGAGGCACAGAAGCAAGCTTATAGGCAGATACTGCTCTTCAGATGTGAGATGGTAAGCATTAGATATATATGACTTATCTGATAGATGACTTATGATAAATCCTTCATTTTTACTCCTTTAAAAAAACACAACCAAAAATTTGCAAAACCTATCCAGTTATTAAATTCTCTAATTTTTCTAACTGTAAAGAGTACCTTGGCTAGATTTCTCTGATGTTCATAAGGTGTCTATCAGTCCAACCCTACTGCCTTCAGGCCTGCCCCCCTGCAGAACTTGTTCTTAGGATCACCTTAGCACTTGATAAACAAGTAATTAGCAGCATGCTTCATACCAGAAATTAAAAACCTTGCACTGTGACAGCTTTAAGCCTCCCTTCTCTGAGTTCTTCAGGGAATGTTCCTCTGGCTGAGTCTATCAGAAATCATTTTAGGTATAAATCAACAGCTATGTGGAAAGGACTCCTAGTTATTGATACAGCTATATCTATTTATTAACGGATTAATTCCATACATTAAAAGCCCAGTAATTACTGCACATATACATTACAAAAAGCTCAAATAAATACCACAGAGTATCCTCTTAAATCAACAGTGTGGATATGTCTAACCTTATTAAAACAAATTGACAGGTTGAGTCTTACTATAGCATTTCAGCTAAGCAGGAGAATCCATTTTAACAAAAGAATCGGTAGCTACCTGAGTGGCCCTGAATAAGAAGCAGGTTAGAACCCACTCCATCACTGAGGGGATTACTCAGACAGACAGCTCTTGAATATAGAAAAGGGAACTGTCCCTTTGTAATCCCTGATTATATTATCAAATATAAGAAGGTCTCAATCTAGTTTTCATTTGCAAGGAAGATAAGGAAACAAACTATATTAAAATAGAGATTTATTTTTTTTTTAATTTTTGTTTTCTTTTCCTTTGAAAGATCGCCTTCGGTTAAAATAACTGTATTTGCTTTGACTGTTCTTTCACACACGCACTCTGTGGCCAAATAAGGGTTCTGTAAGGCATGCCTGAAGGAACAAACTTGAAGACCATACTGTCATCAGGTTTTGCCCCAAAAGCTTATTTGATGAATTTGTGGCTTTTACATTGCATCTAAAAAGAGAAATCACATTTCCAGCGCAAATCACACAACCAGTCCTATGCAAGAATAAATGGTATTAATTCTTTGACAATAAATATGTTTCAAGCAATCTTAGACCCTAAAAATACCATCTAGTATAGTATGTTTAAACTATGGTTAGTGCTTTGAGTGCAAAGGCGGTAGTTTGGGTTTATTTTATGCTGCCTGTGCAGGAGTGGAGAAGAGAAAGCAGAATTAGCTCACCACATGCAAGCTCAATGGTAAAACAACAGCATTGCCAAGGTATGGAGATAGAAACACTGTACATATCTATAGAAATACTTAAATGGTCCCTACCTACAAATAATTGGCTGTTGAGCTGCAAACGAAAATGCCCTTCAGCAGGTGCCTCCAGGACCTTCTTGGGGAGGCTGTCCACCTGCAGAGAGGTTTGCTTGAGGTTCCTCTCAGCTCGGACGTAGTGCCATTGGTTGTCATTCAGGAGTGTGGGAGACTGCACAGTGGCTTCTGTGGGGCCATTCCCAACATCTATGGAGAAGGTGATCTCCTTGGGGGCTGGAATAGATTTACAGATGTGAAGAAGTAGTGAAGGTCTGAATTAAATTGTGGTTTTGACATCAAGAAATCTTACATTAATATAGGGTTCATTAACTTTTATGTCAGCAAATAGTACATCATTTACCTCCCATCTCCTAAACAGCAGCTTATACATAAATCTAAGCCTGCAGCCTCACTGTTTGATCTCTGCTGTGATTATGCTTGGCTGTGGGTATCCATCTTTTTTTGCTATACCAATTACAGTGCTCTAGAAATAACAGTTCTCTTTTTGAAGTAAAACTGCCAAATGCCATACAAAAGTCACAAAACGGTAGCAAAAATTTTGCACAAATAATACTATCATGGGAGAAAGGACAAAGGAACACTTTCTGACTAAATCTTCCGAAATGGATGTACTTAGCTACAGAATTTGGCTTCCTATGGTAGGAGAGAGTCCTACAAGTATTTGTTTGCCAGAATAAGGCTGACCCAAGAAGCACTGAGAAACAAATGAGCAAAACTAGTTCATTGGTGATCCTAGACTAAAAAAGTATGTGTAAAATATATCCAGAAGTAGTGGGCTCCTAGAAACAGAATGATAACTGGAAACCAACAGCCATATAAAGGAGTCCATCTTGCTCTGTTTGAAGCCTGAAAGGGGACAGATTGTTTTAATATTCTTGCTACTGATTATTTTTCCCCTTTCTAAAATGCTAAATACACCAGAAATACCAAGAACCAGGTCCACAGACCACACAACCAGAAGGCTGTGGATTGAAAATGCATAAAAACCTGTTATTTCAAGCCCATCAAATTGGATAGGTCTGGTTTTGGAAGCTTCTTCTTAGATAGTTAAGATAGGAAACACTCCATAGGGATAGACAAAGATCTATTCTGAGCCCCTGCATCTGCTAAAATACCGTTTCCCTTCAAAGCAGCTGGTCTGTGGAGCTTCCTTGATACAAGGCCTTTAGGCTGCAAATTCCATCTGGCAACAAGAAACACACCACCAAACTGCTAATGAGAAGTGCAAGTTTAAAAGACAAGAATTTCCACAAACTTTCAAATAACTCACATCTTCTAGGAGCACAGATTTAACATACACACAAAAACTTTCACTAAACTATCCTCTTAACAGTTTACAGTATTTGTTATGTTTGATATCAAAATGCCATTTTACTTCTGTGTCCCGGAGAATGAAATTCAGTACACTGAAGTACAACCAAACTGGACTTTGATGTGTAATTAACAATAAATCACACCTCATTACCTTGTGATAATACACCATGACATTTACCACTGGTTTAATGAATCAAAGAACCTCGGGGCCTTGTTTTATTAAATTTTATGTTTGGGTTCTTATAACTATATTATAAAATGCAAAATACTCTGTTTTTCCTAAGCTTGACTTAATTTGGAATACAGAAGTCATATTTCATCCCAAAATCACAGTACTCTTTTGTCAATAATAAATATTTGAATTCATCTGAACAAGAGTAAGGCAAAACCTCACTAATTAAGTTCCCTGCTACTCTTCTTTATACACCGAATAGCAGTTTTAATGCAGTCAGTTACTACATTCTGATATATTCAAGGACCACTACAACTTTGGCTGCCTTATCTTCCCTTAGCATACCATCCTTCATAGTCAAACTGGGGAAATACACCCAGACTTCTTGGATGTGCAACTTACAGCTTATTTCAATTCGTATGAAGTCTTTAATCCCAAGATTTTCCAAGAATACCCCAGAGATGGCTGTAGTCTTGAAGAAGAAGGAGATGTCTGCGCTGATCTCAGCATGGAAGGTGGGGAAGTGCAGGTAGGAGGCCTCTGTGTTGAAGGAAGCAGCATTCCAGAACTGCCCTGCAAACACAAACCCCTTCTCTATAGTTAATTGGCACAGGACAGCAGCTGCAAGCTGCACACGGAAAGCCACCTTTCATCAGAAAAATACATTTGAAAAAGAAAGAAAAAGGGAACAGTCTGTACCTATGGAAATTGAGAAGAGCTAGTACTCACTGTCTCCATAGCAACGCAAAGGGCCGATTTTCCAAGCAGCCTCAGAATTTGATCTGTTTGTGTCAGTGATCACTATCTGAGTTACAGGCAAATGGTCTTTGAAAGCAAGGAAGCCGGTATCATTTGTCCTGGATTATAATAAACAAACATAAAGAGACAGATTAACCACAGACAAAATCCCCAGTATTGGTTATGCAAGGCAATATTTTAAAGATGCTTATTTAAAGATGAAAAATCTTTTGCAGGATTACCTAGAAGAATTGTGACTGGTACACACTGCTTAAGATACATATGTGCACAAATCTGCTCTATGCTCACACATAACACTGACCACTAAAGACGCTGTGTTTGGGTACATGTCACTGTTTGGTATGGACTGTAACTTGTGTTTCAGCTGTCCAGAATGACCGTGAAGCCAAGGCAGAGTGCTGCCATTCTGCTTCAAGGGCATTAATGTATACTGGGCTCTACTGGGTTTCCTCAGCAGGATGAATTTCATGTGGATGAGCTATAAGTCCAAGTTTGCATGTCTTTTAAGTTAGCTGGACACAGATAATGGAATTTATGCTGGTTTTGTGCTTTATCCGAGCTAGAAGAGGACACGTGATACCTGATCCAGCATGCTGCTAGCACGGGGCAGCCAGACAATACCTGAGCCAACGTCAAGATGGCTGGTACACAACTGACCGAGCACATTATGAAGATTGTGGCACTGGCAGAGTGACTTTAGATTGAATCAGCCCTTTGCATTATGCACCTGTGGAAATTTTGGTTCAGCAACTGAATCACTGAAGGCTGATTTAGTGCATTGTCGAACTACAGTCTCTTTGTATCAGCCAAGCTTATTCTTCAGCTGCAACAAACTTACACACAGCTGCTAGAAAGAGAGAGAAAAGAAAAGAATGTTCCGAAAGGATCACTTCTTCATTTTTACTGAGTGTGCTGGGCAAATTGTTGGTTTCAAAATGCAGGACTGTGCTCCATGGCAGCCTTGGGCTCCCTAGGCCGATTCGGTGGCTTTGACTCTGGCAGGGTATACGGATGTGCATTCATCCCACTGTCTTCCTGAGCTGAGTCCCTCAGACATCCAGCCTCACCTTACCAGAACTGAACACCCTCTTGAGATATTTCTCTATTGATTATAGAGAGGTGAGTGTTACCGTATCTTGTCTCCACAGTGATGAGTTTTTTTTATTCTTCTAGATCTTTTTCTTAGGGTTGAGGTGTGCTGTGCATTCAGGCACATAAGCCTGGCGGAGCATCATCCTTCACGGAGATGAATCTCAATAGTTTTGGAAAAAAGTCATGGCCCTGCAATCTGCATATAGGGTCTTGACTCAACTGACTTGTCTGCTCACAGGCACAAGGCTGCATGCTGCACATGGAGATGGAAACAATGACTGGATCCAAGTTGCTAATAATCCCAGATTTATACACTCTGCTCTTTCAAACGGGTACGACACAAAGCCTCAGGAAATAGGTATAATTTTTGAGTGATACCACTGCCAAAGAATCTGACATCCCTCCAGGATCCTAGACGACCTGTATATTGCTTGTAATGGCACCTTCCACAAATGTACCTCTTGCTACAGTCCCAGCTGTGGGAAGGGACATAAAATTTCAGGAAATAAATAATGATCAGGATGAACACTGCAGCTGTGTGTCAACACACAACCTTGGATGTTTGCTTAGCTAAGTGCTCTACTCTGATTAATGTTAGAAAAAATAGAAGGGGTACTTTGATCTTTTTGATAAAGGCTGCACACATTTCATTTATTTTTCATTGTTTCTAATTGCATGCAGCACAGTTAATTGTCTCATAATTCCAACAGGAAAAGGAGAGGTACCCTCTCCAACCCTAACATTTTTTTCTTGCTTCAGTGGGTGTCTGACATGCAGATAATTACAAAGTACAGCAAGATAAAATTCCCAGGGACAAGGCAGAGTGATAGCTTCAATACAGACTTAGAAGGAAAAATACTGTGTATGAATCAAAAGTACAGATCTCCAACTCTCTTCAAGGAGGTCTCTCAGCAGCATATTCATCTAGCTTACTGTATCAGTTTTTGTGGGTTAGTGTAAATGTTCTCAATAGATTATGAAACAGTTATAACAAAAGTTGAACTATTGAGTATTACTTGGGAAGATAATTAAATAAGGTGCTTCAGTGGGTGGGAGGAAAATGAGTAACCAGAATGAATGAAAAGTAGAAAGGTGCACAGAAAGGACATAAAATATGAATTATACACATGAATAACTAAGGTGGCATTTACCTTTTTTTTTTTCAAAAAAAAACAAAACAAAAAATCCACAAAATATTTAAGAAGGTTACCTGAAAATTTATTTTAATTCAAAAAATAGTGGTCTTTTGACTAGCTATGATCAGCATTAACATAAAAAATCAGTATCTTCCTACAGCTACCATTGAAGATAAAGACAAAGAAAAGAAAAGAAAAGAAAAGAAATAGTGACATTTTAAAGCTATCTATTCCACACCCCTGAAAACTGTCTTGCTTATTAGATATTCTGTTATATTGCATGAAGGTCTTTTATATCAAATTCCATGACTGACTTTTTACTAGTTATATGCCAGTTTCACAGAGAACTTTAATAGCACAGAGACTTTTATGCTAATGACTTGAAAACTCAATCAAATTTTTCTTGAAGCTCACACAGCGCATTTTATCTATATTATTCTTGCACACGTGGGAAAAAAAAAGACTTGTGAAAACATAAACATTCTCACACAAAAAGGCACTGAAATAAAAGTTAAAAGAAAAACATTCTGCCCTTCAAAGAATTTGTTAATGACAGGTACAACATATTATTGTTGAAGTTTATTATTATTATTTCATTATGGGAATGAAGTTTTTGGTGAAAATTTAACACCTAAGATGTTTCAGCTAAGAAAAGCAGAAAAGAGATTTGAAGACACTTTGCAGGCCCTCATGGGAGCTAAGTCTCCAATTCCTGGTATTCTTTAAGTTGAATTTATTTTAGACTCCATTTCTTACAAAACACCACAATTCCTCTTCTCTTTCCACAGTACACTGTGGATGTCTCTCAAATACAGTGTACTATGCCTCAGAGAGGAGTTGGAGAGCTTTGTGTACCTGTACAATAATTTCCTGGAGGCACAGCTGTGGTACTACAAAATACAAATATTTGGACAAAACATTTGGAGTTTTGCCTGAAGGGGGCTTGGGGATGACTTTTCATGTACAGTTTTCAAATAAAAAGTGTTATTTTCTTATAGAAAGTATTGATACTGTGATGTGCACAGACATGATTTAGTCTTGTAAACAAAAATAAAACCTTACTCAATACATGATTTTTGTATTTATTCCCAGACCTAGTTTTTATTTGTTTGTATTTTAATTTAGCAGTTCACATACACTTCAAATCAGAGTGTGTTTGATTTTCCACAGCTGCTTCTCCTATCAGCCAAAGCCACTACTGTGTTTCTCTTAGTGGGTTTCACATTGCTCTCTGTGACCACTTCCACCAAGCACACCTTTTGCATCACACTATGCCATGCTTCTCAGCATTGAGAACTGGGAGGGTATCCTTCCTGCAGGAGGGTCCTGGAGGGTGATGCTCTTTAGACAGGAATATAACTTAAGTCCTGATTTCACAAAATATCAAAACAAATTCTATCAAATTCTATTCTCTTCCTGATAAGGGGTCCTGGACATGCAAAAAAAAAAAAAAAAAAAAATGGTGCAAAAATCTTAATAAGCTTGGGAAGAAGACTTTCTGCTTACCTGATGTGGCAGTCAATTCAGCACAAATTCAGAAGAAAATTTGAATTATTTCAGAGGGTGGAAAGCACCCTCAACAAACAGATGTTTCTCTGAGCTCTTTCCATAAAAAGTAGTATCAATTTGTACTTCCCACAAGCAAAACCAAACCGAACCAAATCCTATAATGCCCTTTAAATTAAATCACTGAAATATTTTTAGCTATAAATATGAAATATAGTTGGGTGTCATCTATTTATCCATGTCTGAAGATTAATGTCTGACCCCAAAAAAGGACTTTCTCAATAAGACATGTTAGACATCAAACAAATGTTCTATGTATATGAAGAGGGGGACAATGGAAAAAAGGAAAAAAAAATTATCACTGCTGCATTTGCAGAGAAAGTTGATAGTGCAGCAACTGGATACTTTATAATGTAGCACAAGTAGTCTTATCTGTAAATAACAAATAACTATTTTGATAGTAACATTATGAGACTACTTTTCTTCTTCCTGGCTACTAATAAAAGCAAGCTCAAAAAAATCTCACTCTATGGTATCCTAACAGTGTAACCCATCATAAATTGGTAATCTCTAGGTAGCAGTTTATATATTTTTTCTAACAGATGGTAGAGCAGTGGTGCCATTAAATATAATTTCCTCTCATATGATGCCCTATTGAAACATTCTCTTCTTTTACATAAATGGAAACTCTGGTGGGGTCTGAGGCTCAGTAGCTCAGATAGTCAGTACAGATTTTCATGAATACTGTACATTTGGGGAAAATACTGTCATCAGCAGATGCCAATGAACTGCATGAGGAACAGGCCACTGAAACAGGCTTTGATCTGAAAAAGTTTTGAGCCCTGTGCAGAACATATCATTAACAACACAAAGGAATAAGTTTTAATCGCTCTATTACCCACCAGCTACATCCAAAGATGCTTTACTTGGTACAACAATGTAGTGGCATGATAAAAAAAAAAACAAACCAAACAACCAAACTCCCAACCCAACAGCAGAAGGGGACATACCTAAAAGTTGAAGGCAAGATGCAATGGCTATATTTTCCTGAATTAGAGAAGAGGTACAGAGAAAGAGTTTGGTAATGATAGTAATGAACTGATTCCTGACACCTCAGGGGCCTGCTAGAGTCAGCTCTCTGCAGGCAGCTTTTCTAGTTTGTTGACAAATGCAGTCATGAAGGCAGATATCCAAGACAGCTCTATACAGGCCAGGTCACCTCCGGCAGGGTTTATTTATGAGCTGACAGGCTCTGCAGAATTGCCTACACCGCTTCTGGGGGAACGAATTCAGTGCGGGATAGTGGCTGAACAAACAAAACCTGTCAGATCTGGGCTCATCAGCAGTTGGGTTTCTCTGCCCTGCTCTCCTCAGCCCTTCCAGTTTTAGCATCCTGGCTCTGGCACAGCTTTGCATAAATATAGCTTGTCCAAAGAGGGCTTCATTTGCTTCCACACGGCTTTGCTCCTCCTCAGACAAAATTGGATATACTCACAGTATATCTCTGGGAGCCAAAGAGGGTCTGAGAACAGTAATATTCCCCCCTACCTTCCCACACCATCCCCTTTCTTTCTTTCTTTTAATGTATTGTGGTTTCCTTGTTCCTTGCAATACCCCAAACATGTAAAGAGGAAAATGCATGTTACTTTGGAAATGGGAAGAGTCAAAAGCTTCTAGAAGATAAAAGAAGGGGAATTTGAATAGTAAGACTGGAGAATAGAAATAAAAGGTGGCAAATCAGCTACAGATTGGAATCAACACTGTCCACCTGAAGTGCTGGGGTTAAACTCCCAGCCTTGAATGAGGGTTGGCATCTGGATGATGTCCACAACCACGCAAGAAAGACCCTCCTTATTGGTTTCCACCCAGGGTCTGGTCAGCCTTGGGTGGGAACTGATTAGGAGATCACCACCAGGTGCCTCCACCTTCCATATTAACTTGGAGGTGGGGCAAGAAGCCACCTCTATAAGAACTGACTCTGCTTGTAGTGGTGTTGGGAAGTCTGTCTACACAGTGGATGTGCTGAGTAAGGATTCTGGTTATGGGAAAGGCTCTGTGAGTCTTCATAGGAAGTGGAGTTTCTAGGACAGCAGAAGAAGATCATGAGTGTCTCTCTGGGAAAATTCTACATAACTGGACTGTTTGCCTGGGTCCTTCCATCTATCATGGCTTGGTTCTACAGACAGCTTGCTTCCTTCTGCACATCCTATGCTGTGAGTGACCACATTCATCTATTCCTCTCTCCAGTGGTCTGACACCTTGGATTGTTTGTGTATGATTTAAGATCTGAGAGAGGAATCTGGCTGTTGGTTTGCCCGTTAATAATAATATCCTTCTCTACTGGGCAAGCGGTCAGCAGAAGACCACCACACACTGCTGAAATGCCTGAGCTTCCTGTACAAAATTACTTTCAGAGATGCCACTCTTTTTTGTACAAAATAAAAAGTTGAAAAGTTCCCTGCATTCCAAAGGCTTCCAAGTGAATGCAGTTAGTAAAACATAGGGTTGGTTTGATGACAGGCTTAAATGAAGTATTTGCATTTGAAGTAGAAAATGGATTCCAGACAGAAAGTAGCAAATGGACTTCATTCAGGACAGTCATGTGCCACCATGGCATGAAAGAGGTTCCTCCCATTTGAATTAAAGGTTTAGTGAGCAGCAAGACTTTCATTGCCAAGGCCAGAGAATTTTGCTTCAGATGAAGACAGACTGGGGGAGGTATTTAAGGACGTAAAGGATCTCTAGAATGGATTTAACGTAACACTGTCTGCATTTCGTAAGTGTTTTAGGTCAGTTTGCAACCTTTCCCAAATAATACATACATTATGAATGCACCTTCTGTTTGAAATAGAATCTTTTGAAAAACAGTCACAAATCCATCTCATCTGTACATAACTTGTCCCAGCAATTAACTATCCTCAGTGTTGGGGAAGGCAAAGAGAAAGAAAGAAAATATTCTGAACTAGATTTACCTTCAGCTTGCAGCCACTGGATTACTACTGATGTTCCCACTCACTAGCAAGAGATATCAACAGTCAGGATTCTCTCTTTTTTGGAAGCATGCATAAACTACAGTCAAGTCATATTTAGCACCTTTCCTGATCCCTTGTTTCCATCAGGGTGATAACTGATGCCTCTGCTCCCTCAGCAGAGGTCTTCTTCCATTCTCCATCAAATAACACAAAGATGTTCCACTATTCTGCAGTGTTGGAATTAGCTGTAATCACATTGCAGAGTTTGGAAGTACAGTGAGGAGTCGAGCAGAAAGAGATACCTTTCTTTTTATTAAAGCATTCTTGTGAAAAGTGAAAAAATACGAAAACCTTCCCCATACAGCATACAACCTATTGTATTCTTGTTCATCTGGCCAGAATAACTCCAGGAGGACTAACTTGGTGCTAGAGCCCAGAGACAGCAGCTGTCTCAGGTGTCTGCTTAGATATCATTTAAAAGTCAGTGTACCTAGAAGTGCATATCATGTGCTGCCAAACATCTGGCTCAGGGCTTTCTCAGGTCTGTTTTCTCTTGGTTTCTGTTTCTTTTGCTTCTCAGAAATTAGCTGCTTCTGTATGCAAGACTTAGTCTAGGGAAACCAAATCAAAGCAAAATCCTGAGTTGGTCTCCTCTTCAGAAGGACATTCCAGCCATTCTGGTGATTTCCCACCTCCAAGCTGCCTGATTTATTTAAAAGGAGCAAAGATGATTTTCTGGTTTTCGTCTCTGCAGTACCCATTTTATTTCATGTTAAGGTAAATAAATGCATCTAATGCTGTCTTGCTTCTTCCACTATAATGTATAGGAGGTTAAAGTCACAGTTCAGATCTCAGCAGGTTTCAGATTCAGATGTTCATTATATATCAGAGGGTCAATGTTCTAGCAGAAAAACACAAAAGTAGTCTTCAAGAGGCATGAAAATTCTTATGTTTAGGAACTTTTTGTAAAAGTCAGGATTTTTTTAGCTTTTAAAAAGGCAGCCTGAAATTTAGAATACTGCCAAAGTCCAAACTTCAAATGGATTAAAACCCAAAACAAAGCACCTGAACCCCCAAACCAACAAACAGCAGGCAGGTTAGCTAAGGAAATTTCTACGCATATCCTGTTGTTATAATGAAATTAGGAGAAACAAGTAGCTCTGTGAGCTGCCAAGCTAATGAAGCATGATTTCCAACATTTCTCTCCCTTGAGGATTTTCCAAAATCTAATAAAAGTTTATGCTTCCTAACTTCCTTCTTGTGGGTTTTAATTGGCTTTTTCCCTTCAGCCTGGCATAAATTTTCATAGAATGTGTAATTTCTAATACTTCTGAGATTTCTCCTTCTGTGTTAAAGATGCTTGAAAGGTGTCTGCTTGTTCATAATCATTGGGTGTGGGGGAATAACCGAGATAAACACTGACAGTATGACTCATTGAAGTCTCATTTCATTAGGAGACTCAGCTAAAACATTATAAAACTGCATGTAGCTTTCACCTTGCATTGGTTTGTACAATCTAGTGGTGCACTGTCCTGCAGCCTCAGACTACAACCTCTGTATTCTGCCATCAAAACACAACCCTTGAGGTCTACATGAGTAGCTCACCAAAAGCAAAACGTGGACTATTAAAAGAGCCAAGGAACAGTACAAAAAGATGCTTTTGTTGCTCATGGGAAAACCTCATCTAAGTGCATCTGGTAACCAAACATTAAAGAAAAGAGAAATTAACATGTACAGCCAGGCCCTTCTATATAAATCTATACAAATCACATGCATAAATCAACATTTCCAGAAAGATCTTTCCAAAGAAATCCTGTTAGAGCTGTGTGAAAGTGAATAGTGACCCCAGGGATACAAAGGGTCCAAGCAAATAATCACACTGTCTAAAAACTGGGCAACCAAAACAGCCTAACACTTACAGAGACAAGTAATTTCTGAATTAGTTCTTTTTTTTCATTAAAGACCCCTTGCAGTTCCTTTCTACTCATTTAAGTAAAGGTTTAACTGGGATAATTTGGACACTATATCAAATACAGTAGCCTATTACAGCAAGATATTTCTTGTCTATTTCCATTATTTGTCATTTCTGAGCTATTTGAGGTTAGAATATTTATTTTTTTTTTTAGGGAAAGGGCAGCAGTTTCCATCCACAAGTGGTCCAGATGAAGTGAAGATAAAGTGAAGCAATGTTTTCATGTGTATTTTTATAGTGTTTTAAATTGTGCTTTCAACAACATTCATCTGGCATTTCTGTCCCCTCCAACACATGTATGGAAATAACTGGAAAATTCACTAATTAGGTCACCACTGCTGGATAGTCTCTGAAGATTCAGAGAATGGAAGAAGGTTGTGAGGTGGCCTTCACAAATTCATGTGGCATTGGGGCACAACAAAGGTCTGAACTCAAGGAAGGCTTTGAATTTTTCATTCTGTAAATCTAAAACTTCCTGTGGAGACTGAACTAAATCTATAGAAGCTAATGTAAGTCTTTCCAATTACTTTAAAAATCTTGGGATCAAATATAAAAGAAAGTTAAGGCATATATACTCTCTCGTAAGAAAGAGACAAGTCTTTTTAGTAGTACAGATTTCTTGTTCTTTAGTTGTCTGTACTGGAATTTCACTGTCTATGCCCCAACTTTCTGCTCTGATGTATACACATGCACCAAACCCCTAGAGCTTTTATTCATGCAATGCTCCAGTTGAATCAATGGAAATTTTTAAACAAATAGAACAACTGAATTTGGCATTCAACAACCAAGACTTTCTGAAGACAACACATGCCAACAACCTGCTTCAACCAGATATCTTTTCTTTGGCTCAAATAAGAAATTTAGGATTAAATTAGAAGTCCATATTCTAGTCTGACTTTTATTCTCATTTGACCATACTCAAATCATTCAAGCTTCCTGATATGTGAATCAGGAAAAAAAATTAAGCCTTCTTACCTTACTTACTATCCCCCAGCTCTCACACAGACCCTATTATACATGTTAAAAGTATTACCATTCTTCTCTATCTGCGTCACAGTTGCAAAAATATCTCATATCCAGACAACTTTCTTCCAGTCCACATGCACACTGTTGAATACCCGGAAGAGATCCTCCCCAGTAAAGATGCTTTTCATTGGCACGGCCAACCCACCAAGCAAATGGCATTCCATCTGGATGAAAGGGAAAAGAGTGGAAAAAAAGAGAAAAGAGGGAAAAAAAAAGAGAAAGAGAACTTGATAAGCAAATTAGATTCTCCTGAGAATGAAAAAGAGAATGGAGGTGGACACGTTAAATAATACCGAAGGAAAAGATGCAAACTACAGACAAAGTTACAAACCATAAACTTTGCCCAAGTTCCATTTTATGGAATACAAATTGAGAAAGCCACAGGTCTATGGCAATCCCATTTGGTTTGAGGAGCAGATGTTTTCCCCATAGGGCTTGTGCGCCCATCACCCATGAGAACCCTGGTGCTTTTCACCTGCAAAGACTTTTAAGGTGCAAGTCCAACAACACTGTCTCTACCAGCTGTGTCTGGTGGGTTTGTGCAACACTAGAGGGAAGATCTGATCACTATGGGAGCCTGAAAACAATTCTCCTGCCATGACTTGCACTGCACAGCTGTCTGGAACCACCCAGTATTGGTCAAGGACATCTTGCAGAGCCTACCCGTTATGAAGGAGACTCTAGCTCTTGGATCAGGGTTTTTGTAACCTTAAGATTTCTATACAAAAAGCAAAAATCTAAAGAAATTGACCTATCAAACTGACCCATTACTGGACTTAATACTGTTCCTCTCAAAACTAAGACCAAGTCTGTATTGGTTTCTAAAGGAGCAGTCCTAGGGATTTTAATGTGTTCTCCAAGGGCTGGATTTACAAATGCAAAGCTCCAGAAGATATCAAAATACCCTAGATTAAGGATTCAGGTAGGACATAAGTGGGGAAAAAGATCTTATTTGTTTCTATGAAGTTATTTTCTATCTACAGGAGCTCTAAGATCTCTGTATTTGTATAAACCAAGATAGTTTTTGTTTAAATTTCATAATCCGTTATACATCAAGCATTAAATATTAATAGTCAGATACAGTAAGCGGATTCAGATGTAATGAAATTCATGGATTAACATTTTGCTAAGATTCACTTTGTCTCCCAGCTCAGATAACTTTTTCATTGACTCCTTAATCCTTAAATCAAGAAATGTAATCAGTTACACATACAGGTAGATGGCAAAATTTAGCAAAATTGACATATCAAGTCTTTTTGATCAAAGGAGCTTGGAAAAATAAACTGCACAGTTAATGTAGAAAAATGTATCAATTTATTCTTCTGTTTTACACATTATTAGTAAGGAGTATTCCTCATTATACAAAGTAAGAAAGTCTAAAATATGAGATGCAATCAAGGTTAACTGTAGAATGTAAGGGACTAATTAAAATGAGTTTTAGAATCACTTGGCAAAATTAACTCATATTTGTTCTCCTTCTAAGCTTAGACTGCTGAACTGCAAATTCATGAGAAAAGGGAAATAAAAATAGGAAGAGTAACTCCATTGTCATGATACCAGTAATTAAAACATCATGAGTTTGACCAATACCCAAAGGTACTCATTAGAAAAACACAATTCAAGATTCATCTTACAAAAATGTGCATTCTTATTTTAGGTCTCATATTATCATAATGACATTTATGTTTTCTTTCTTTTCTTTTCAGCTGATTTTCTTGCAGAATTTGATTACTGCATCCAGTGAAACAAGGCTATTCTAGATTGTTGGAAAATTACTTGGTAAAGCTTTGGAACAGTAATGTTAATTAAATAAATGGGTGATTTGTTTAGGAGTTGAAATAGATATTAAACAGAAGTGCTTAATCTAATTCTGGAAAAAAAAAAATAGATAAAGATAAATCCTTCTGGCCATCAGCAAATCAAATTCAACCTGTGTCAGATTCTTTTGGTAGAAATCATCATATACTCAAGCATAACGGTGAAATAAGCAATCATTCACAAGACTTAAGCATGAATAGTTTTCTGATATCTTTTTTCAGATCTGTTGTTTTATCGAGCAATACCAAGCAAACACATGCACATTCAGATTTATGATATAGATAGAGGAAGTGGTAGAAACACCACAGTTGGAGTCATTTACAAATAAATACACTGCTAAAAATATAGTGTTCAACATGATTAATGCTGATTCTTCAAAACTCTTTTCCACGTGTGTAATTTTCTAACACATGAGAAACCACAAAGCTATTCAACAAGGCTTTTAAATCTAAGCTACTTCAGCAACGTCTGAAGTGTTTAGGAATTACTGAAACTTATGTTGTATGTGATATACCTGCAATACTGAAGAAATGGAATAGTTCAGTAGCAATGGAAACCAATCTATCCTCGAGCTCTTTCCAAAAAGTTTACATCGTTATACCACAAGTGGAGAGTGCCTTGCATTGAGACTGAGTTGGGCCAAGAGGTGTTGATTAAGATTCTTTCTTCTATACCTGTAGATTTGTTGCAATACCTTGACTTCTGTAATCATGGTATTTCCATTTTTTTTCAAAACATTATCCACTCTCTACCAGCTCTAAGTGAATTAATTTCCTTTCTGTAGTGAAGCCACAGACTGTCAATGATGCTAATCAAGTAGTTAACATGGTCCCAGAAACTAAACGTTACACAGGTCAGTAGAATTCCATCCTAAAATTTCTAAGTTAAAAAGTTTATTTTATATGTAGTGCTACTAATTCTTCATTCTTTGCTTACATTGTACCTAGTAACACACCATTTAATCAAAAAGAGGTAATAAAAAGCCTATTGCATAAACAAGAGTATTATTTTCCATACATTTTTATCTCTTCAGATTTTTTAAAGAAAATGCACTATAATAAATGTGTCAGGTTGTCTTTGAATTCCATACTATGTTTCTGAAGGAGAATGTGTGTGAAAAAAAAAAAAAAACAAACCAAGCAAGCAAACAAGCCCCAAGTGACTGAATTTACCAATAAGATAGTAGAGACCAATTTCTTTCAAGAGATTTCTTCCTGTACAGCTCAAGCTGCCTTTGGAAGGTTTTAGTTCAGGTAACAAAATCCTCAAAAAAGGCAAACATTTTTTATTTCTAGCACAGGACAAAACTCCTTTCTGGTGGTGCTGTCTGGATGCATCTACAAACAGCTGTGATATTTACATCACCATTTTTACCCTAATTTGATGTTGTGTTCAGTAAAAGAACTGAGCAGGCAGACAGTATTTTGTATCAAACCAAGTGCTGGTGCTCATTCACACTGTCAGGCACAGGCTGCAGAAAGTAAGGTTGGCACAAGTCTTCTGAAAAGGAAAAAATAAGGGGTCTCATCTTCAGTTCATCTTGATATTTCCATCTACCTGTCTCCACAGGCTAGTCCTTTGTGGTCTATTGGTCTGTTCGACAGCTACTGCATGTATGTATCTGAATAGCCAAGTAAGCCTTTAGAAACCATGGAGTATACAATACTGAGACATGGGGACAAGAACTCATTTTTCTCCATCCAGCAAGGCACAGAAAGTAAGCTTCCTTCAGATGTCAGTTCTTCAGCAGATCCCCTGTACCTCCTCTATCAATGCACTTAACTAAACTGTTCATTGTTAGTTCTAGGTATGAAATCTTTTTCTGCTAGAGCAAGGCTGGTGCACACTGCACAGTTCATAAGCACCAAGGCTGCAGACTATGAAGAGAATAGCAGACACACAGAGATTGTTTCCAATGATCCTTCAAAGGAGATGCAGATTGAGCTCAAATTCACCTGCAATGCGTATCTGGCTCATCTAGTGACAAGAATGCCTGAACATGCATTTGGTAGACCTCTACCAGCTTAAAGAAAATGTCTGTCCTCTCAAATCTCCCTGGCATGCCTCTACTGCCAGTTCTTTCATTTTCTGTATTAGAAGGCATTAACATTGCCAGCAATACAGGTTGTTTTAAAAAGTTTTAGACTTGCTTATGTTTTCAAAGGCAGGTAATTTTTTCAAATATAAGCACTCTAAAGCTGGAGGAGGGGGAGAAGCTTCATATTCCAACAGTGTTTAGGACTAAATTACTACATACATAAATCACGAGCAACTTCTATCGACTCAGTTTACCTTTATATAGACAAAAAGTTTTAACATTGGCTTTTACGTTCATACAGCATGAGTTAAAAGAAAGCCATGCATTTTCAACGGTATTCAACCTCAGTTTTGACCCAGTAACTACACAACCCTAACATGGGTAAGGTTTTTGGGCTACCCAGGTTATTGAAACAGGTCAGGTAAAGACCTTTTCGACCACTAGAGCAATCCAATTTATTTGTATCTGTCTGTTGAAACACTGAAACTGTATTGCATTGAAACAACATTGATTTGGCAGTCTTAATATTCCATTTCTTTCTCCAAAATCAAAGTGAGTTAAGAAGAACTGAATTTGTTAAGTCTTACATCTATACATCTTACTGATGAAAACACAGATTAATTTACATCTGTACTGTTTTCTTTTAAAAGGCAAGATTCATATATCAAGAGATAGTGAAAACTAGGAAAATATTGATCATAGAATCACATAAAACGATCAAAGCCAATTCTTTGCTACTGCACTCAAAAACATAAAATAGCTGTTTGTACTAACCACTTCAATAATATCAAATCTCACAAATGGCTCACCTAATACACTGAGCAGTATGTGAAACAAGCAGTTAGCAGGTTTTTTTAATACATGTATCAGTATATATATACAAACATATGTATATGAGGCAATTTCAACCTCAGTAACTGAATTGAGAGGCCAGTCCAGAGTACAAATTATGATCTCAGCCTATCAATTTTTAAAAGGCTCTTGAAAAAATGAAGGCATAACAGAATAAGGGAAAACTCTGACACATTATTTTTTGCAATAGTTTACCAAGATCTTTTATTCCCATGCTGGATTTTTTTTCCTTCCATTGCAACATTTTTCTAGCCTTTTTTATCAGAATTTTAAACATTAAATTGAAATAAAGCTAAAATCTTCCCCTTCAGCCTTTTCAACAGGAAAATAATAATAATGTTTATAATAATTCTGGCCAAAATCATGGAAAAATTGGATAAATATTCTATATTTAGTGGATAGAACAAAGTTAATATATTCTTAGAGGGTGTTTTTTCAGTGAAGAGGTCTGTTGCG